GGTAAATATCAGTATAGGGGCTGTGGAGATTATTAAGCTTTTAATTGAGATAATGAACCGATTGATCCCACGAACCGGATTGTGGATTCGCACTGCTGAGAAGTCCCACAATAGGACGAAACGACCGTTCAGTGCTTCCAGGTTTTTTAATGGTGGTCTAACATCAATCAGTTCATGATCTCAATTAAAATATATTATTTTTATTTTTAACGTAACATTTAAATTGTCAACATCATATACCTCCTATTATAACACTTTGTAACTTGTCATTATTAAAAAGAATGTTTGACTCATCACATAACAAACCAAAACCCAATCATTTATAGACAAAATAAAGTAAATTAGTTAATTGATCTACAAATTATACATAACTCTACATTTTAAGGAATAAGATAAATAGGCATTTTTGTTAGAAAAACAACAACATAAATTCACAATAGTTGAGACTATGAGTCAATTGAAGTTAGACCACCATAGAAAACATGTATGTCCGTTTCATCCTATTATGGGACATATAGATTTATTTTAAAATTTCTTACTAATTTCTATTACTTAGTAGAAAAGAAAACAAAAATGAACATTTAAGTCATTTGCCTTTAGGGAGTTGTTAGTGAAACTATCTTTTTTTTAAAAACAATTTGTTTGTAAGTGATTTGGTTTAAAACTGCTCTGATGGTTTTCACATACTTTACTATCATGTTACGTTACCAGTTTAGCTATATCTTTTCCTAATAATAATAATAATAGTGGTAATAATAACGATAGAAAGAGGATAATAGTATTCCTAATTACAATAATAAATTAAATAGTAATGAATTTATATCATGTTAAAAGAGTGAAAAATTGATTAGTTATTAATATTCAATAAAAATCAATTGACTAGGGAATAGACTAAGAACATGTTCAATTTATTGTTTATTTTATTAATGTATTATATTTTCTTATTAGAATAGATAAACAATTAATATTTTATTATATATATATATATATATATATATATATATATATACATTTATAGTTTATGTCTATTTCATTGATTTAATTTCGATTTAATTTCTTATCACAATACTCTATATGTTCCAAGTGGATTTGATAATTATTCTTACTTATAAAAGTACTTCAAATATAGTTTATATTGTTATTCATTAATGTATCTTAAATTGATTGTAATCGATTTAAATTTGTCAAATGGGTTATTATGGTTATACTTGCTTCAACTAGGATTCAGTATTCAGCTAATACTTATTAATATTCAAATATAAAATGAAAATAAAAGTTTCTTCTTTTTGTAAAGTACTCATCATCGGTATAAAGTCAACTTTTTCTAAGTAGAATTTATTCAAGAATTGAAGATTACATAATTCTCGCATTTAAGCAAGAGATGGATTTTTTGTGAACACTGTGTGTAATTCAGTTTTCACATGAAGTTAATGATTCTCCACTAAGAGTCATCTACCTTGATTTTGATCATCAATTCAATACTAAACATCCAGTCTTTTAGGCTTGTGAATGCATTCAACAGATAATACAAGAAATATGGTATGTATTGGGGAAGTAATATGAACCCTTATTTACTTACGCCTGTTACCCCTCGCGGAGGAGCATAAGCCACCCACTAATAATCTCCACTTATTTTAAAAAATTAGGGATATATCTAGCGAAATTATCTTTTTGTATATAGTGGAGCCATGGATTGAGCGTTCTTGAGCTTATTATCCGGGTACTAAGGAAAGCTAACAGATTGGTTGATGAAGCATTCAGTTTTCATCGACCAAGGTAGTTGAGTTATATTATACATATTGCCAACAACTGTGAAATACGATTTGTCTGGGCTAGTAGTAGACTGGAGCCTGACTATTGGGAATCAAACAAAGGTCTGATCTCAATCCGCGGAGCCAGTGACCACTGATCTGAACCTTATTTGAAAATGAATATTATTTAGTTGGGTCTTGTTTGACGATTATCATAAATAGTTGAGAGTGTTGGACAATATGACACAAGATCCTTCATAGTTGTACACACTTTCCCAGTCTTTATCTTCAATTGATACCCAAGTTTTAATATTGATTTTGATTCTAAACGTTTATTTCTACAATTTTGGCACTATAATCAACGTTTGTCATATTTCAATATGACTAACCCAATTATTAATTCGACTCTTGGTATTCTCGCTATATTGAAATGGTGTAGTAATTAATGGATTACTAAACAAATCCTTTAACATCATCAAACACATGATCTTCAGAACAACTGATCTATGAAGCATGGTTCCTGATAAAAATATCAGCGAAAATTTCCCAAAACTATTTAACATTTTAAATATCATAGTGATTTCTTTGCATTTTATAAGTTGGAGATTCAGATAAGGTAGCCTACCTGAAGTGTCACTCAAAAATTTCTAAAAAATATAGTGAAATATTAATTATTTGAATTCAGTAAAATTATCTTTTGTTTTACTTGGAATCTAAATAAAATATTCGACTTAAATATCAAGACAAACCTATAAATTTGATTAACTATATGATCGACAGTTTTGTCATTGAACAGTTAAGATAAGACGCTTCTTTTTTTGCTACGTTTCTTATTAAACACTCTGTCAAATCAATTACACATACAATTATACTAAACATTACTAAGATTAATTATAATAGAGGGATAAAAATAGTTCCGTATATTTTATATCAACCAAATAAAACGATAATTTTTATTAATTTTGTGAATGATATCTTATGGTATTTGAAGAGGTTGACAACTTTTGTGATACATGGTACAGATTACTGGATATTTAACAAATATCATTCTAATTTTATTAGTTGAGATCAAAGGCTAATTGATGCTAGACCACAATGGAAGGGCTGGAAGCACTGAACGGCCGTTTCGTCCTATTGTGGAACTTCTCAGCAGTGAGCGTCCACGATCCTACCTCGCGAGATCCGAATCCAAGTCCCATCGTTCCTTTTCTGATACTAATCAACATATGCTCACTAGTGACTGACTTCAAGAGGTATTTCCTGGAGTTCCAGTGAGAAGCAGTGACCAGTGGAGTCCAACTGGGCCTGTTATGAGATAGTAACTCACTGAACGCAATGGTGTATGTGTCGCCCAATTTCGTGGATCAGTTGAAGTTAGACATTAACACCATTGGACGCCGGCCAACTCAGTGGTTTAGTGGTTGTGAGCTCGCACGCGAGACTGATATGTCCTGTGCTCGAACCTCGCGAGGCGGACCGTATATGCCCATTGCTGAGGAGTCCCACAATGGGACGAAACAGCTGTGAAGTGCTTCCAGGTTTCTCCATGGTGGTCTATCTTCAATCGACTCATGATCTCAACTATTAAAATAATATTCCAGTTATTTAGGCGATTATAGATGATAATCTATTTTTAATATTAGAACATTAATTTTTAATGGGAATCTTGTCAAGAAAGAACTGTTTTTTTTGAAGAAATTTCAACACATATATATATATATATATATATATATATATATATATATTACGGGCTCAAGATTTCCGATAACATTGGTCACGACAATCTTCTAACAATAAAGTGTTCTATATCATAATTATTTCAGTTTTTTTGGCAACTTCCTATTCATTAAGACTAATTTACAAGAAATAAATAAATAAAGGAAATGGCTTTCCCCTATTTGATATCATGTCCTTGTTACATCCTGAACAATTGATTGTACAATAAATTTAACATAAACAATGAAACCAAGTACTAGTTAAAGAAACTCCAAAAATTATTGTCCTGGTTGTTTTACAATAAGATGACCTTAAATTTCTTTCTTTTTTTTTAGTGTTAATCATTATGAAATTATTTATCAGAAAAATGCAATGCCTTAATTTCTAAAAGCAAATTATTATTATTATTATTATTAAGTAATTAGGTTAGTCGATCTATATCATAGAAAAATAAAGTGCCTTTCAAACTCTTGTAATTTCTGTTGTTATAGAAAACAACCAATATATAATAAAGAAATTTTACTGAGGCTTTTTTTTGTATTAACCTTAACTGAAGAATTAATCTCAGCTTATGTGTTGATAACTTGTTTAGATTATTATAACCATTGTTAAAATGTAGATGATATGGGTGTATTATTTAGTTAAAGAAAGGAAATGTTTAGAATTTAAGTGTTTTTAGAAAATATATAAGCAAAATTACAGTTTAAAATTATTAAAATGTAATGCATAAGTTTAGTTTTTTTGTTTGAATGTAGGCTGTTGTTTAACAAAGATCTAAATATTGTGTTATCTTTGATGATTACCAAAAGTTTAATATTAACAAGTTATATCGAACCAATGGGCAGTGTAGATCTTTATTTTCACGATGTAAGCTTAGCATCAAATGAATGTCGATGACCAATAGCATTTTTTGAAAGAAGTCAGTTATTCAGCGATACAGTCTCAGATTTGAAAAAAACTATCCTACTGATTAAGAGTTTTAACTCAGTGTAGTGAATGTAAAACATTGAAGCCTTTAGTCAAAACAAACATAAGTTGATGATAAACATATCAGCTAAAATGGGGAAAACAGTAACGTTATGAGATATTTGATGCCATTCGTTATTTGTATTCATTGTTATTTGCTAACCATTTTTTACCACTCAGTTTACATAGCATGATCATTAACTTGATATCCCGTTTTTATGAATTTGTTGATAGGGATTTAACATTAAACTGAAAATCTAGTCAATTGTGGGATATCTAAGAATGAACAAAAATCTTATTTTAACATTTATATCTAATTTAATAACGGGTTTGGTAATCTATTTCAAAGTGTGGCGAATTCAACAAGTTCATCTTGAACAAATGAAATATATCTAATCCTTAATGAAGAGTTTGCAATGGAAGAGTAGTAGTTTAGATGAAACAAACTTGTGCATTTATGTGAAGCTTGAAAAGTGAAATATCTAAATTCCACAAGAAAATATCAATTAATTGCGCAAAAATTTTAAACTACAAATTAATAAAAGTTAAATGTAATTGTTGACTCACCGAATTGTTATGAAAGTGTTTATTGACTAATTTCAAAATAACTTTCGTATTAATTTTCTACGGAGTGCATAGTATGATATAAATCCACAAGATAATCTTATTATAGATCAACAGATTAGTGTCCTTTAAAAACGTAACAGTAAATTTATCAAGTTTATTATCTCACTAACATCCTAAAATCTATTAAGCATTAACACGAAGTGCGAAATAGGTAAATGAAACTACCCAGTGAATGATCAAAGTATTGTAACAATTTGATTGGCTTAAAGTACGAGAAGTTATGATTGGTTGAGAAATCAACAAATCATTTTTGAAAATGATGTGTTCTAATTGTTTGATTAGTTTAATCAAGAAAATATTCATGTTAGTTTATTTGTTTTAGTTAACGCACGAGAAAAATTCGTTCAAAAAAAAGATCGAATAAAGGAAAATATGGGGATTATGAAAACAATACTGGAAGTTATAAATAAAAATAATATAATTATAATATCTCAATTAGTAGGAAAATTAGTTTCTTTGACGTTTCGTGACCTAGTGTAAGCCACTTCTTCAGAGAACGATTAACCAAATTAAAATTAACCTAAGTTTAAATCGTATCATATTACAAATATATTACTTTTATTCATAATAATTTACCCAATGCTCATTTTAGTGATACCTATAAAATACTAAAAGTTGTTTTAAATTTAACCAGAGTGAACTTAAACTTTTCTTACACTTCATTTACATCCTTGAAAAACATTATTAAATTGGTTACTGGCTTGTAGAGAAAGATATATAACTAATATGAGGGTTCGCCTTATTTCGATACCGTTCTCACGACTCCAAATTGCGCCATAAATTTTTGATTTCATCCTATGTTTCAACCGATAATAATGACAAAAGTGAAGGAATTAAAGTTATAAAAACTCGAACAATTCTTTCAATGTAGTTCTATGATCTAGAAGAATGTAGAAGACAGTGTGCTACATTGATTGTATTCATCATTTTTGTTAATATTAAGAATTCGACATTAAAATATATTTAATCTATAGACATTGAAAAACATAAATAAATGTTAAACTGTATAAATGAGTCATCACATAGAATAAATAGCTTTTGTCTTTTCACTATCTTCATTTGGTCATTTAAACATTTAATCCACTGCATGAAAAGTAGAAAGTATTTTGTGGGAAATCTTTAGAAACATTTGAAGTGGAGACTAATCATTTTATTAGTATAATGGATTTGTAGCGATTACAGATGTTTTACGGTTTTATATTTCGAACTATTGTCAGATAGACCCTCGTTGGAATTACTGAACTAGTGGTTAATAGCTAATGTGTGAAACCGATGATCATTTCTAAGACATTCAATTAAATACATTTTTCCTGAGAAATAAATACTCATACCAAATAAAACAGGGCTAAAGAACTACACATGCATCAAATTTACGGAAATACACAAAGAAAAAATTTTCATGAAGCGGAATTATTCAATTCTTAAAATCTATTTTAATAGATACTAAAAAATAAAAACGAATCACGTATCACCAGACATCTAGAAAGCCCTCATTATGAAAATTCTATAAGTTTCTTCTCTTCAGGAACCATCTATAGAATCTAACCATAGTTGCTTTTATAATTCAGAAGCATCAATATATTAACTATGTGACATTATTCTGGATATGTATGTTGCAACATATAAAAGAGACAGGAAAGTATTTTTTTCATATACATTTGTATCTCAGTAGGTTTGGTTTGGCTGAAATTAGTAGAAATCCATATAGTTCATTGATTAATTAAGGAAATGAGTTGCCCGTCAATAAATTACTCTCAAACAAAACTATTCGATTTTACTCACCAATATATTAACAACGATAATGTTTTAATCAAAAGTTTAAGTGTATGGAATATTGATTTTAGTTTTTTTCCAATGGTCACAGTTGATTCCTTTAAGATGACTGTTGATAATGTGTCAAGAAACGAAAATCATCAAATTTAAAAAAAGATACTTCTCAACACTATTACATTTATTGCGTAATTAGATGAATAATTCACTCTAATTAGGTGTATTGTCTAATAACAACATTGATGAACTAATTACTAAAAACATTGCTGTTCGAGTTCATAAAATTAGTTTTAATAGACTGCTCAGACAAAATTTGTATAAAACACATACAATGTTCTCAGAGACATTTTCAATAGTTAAAATTATCAAATGAAAAGGCATTTATACGTCAAAAAGTTTGTAATCTGATAGTAGTTTCAACTGTAACTCTGCTTATTTCATAAAACGTTTACTTCAAGTGTTATTTAAAGAGAATAACACTTTATGGTTTATTACGTTATGAAATGATAGCATTGTTCCATTCTTTAAATAGATGAACACTGCAAATAAGTTTCATTTGGGGATTTCAATAGCTTTGATTATTTTTCAGTCAACTATGTATTGCAATAACAGTCACATGCCATCCAAGAAGTCTTGATTAACCAAAAATAAATATTACGGTTAGAAAAGAGACTGGGTGTAAAACGAAATGTTAATATTTTGATTAGATTGAAATAAAACGTTTCATAATTTCTTTCTTTCTGACGACAAGATTTCTATCAGTATGACTGATTGCTTTTTTCTCAGTATATTCTTACACTATATTGTCTACATATAGATGCGTATATGTGTATTCTGGCTAGTGTTTTTTATCAAGGTTGTTTTCTACGGGATGGGGTTACTGACCCAATGCCCAACCCTCCTCCTTCACTCGGACTTGATATCGGCAGTAACCCTAGAAGAGCTACAGGCACAGTTGCGTATGTGTGTATGTCTAGGTGTAATCGGTTGTATTTGAAGACAAAACGCTTATATATATTGATTTTTTCTATATAACTAATTTCTTTGACATGATTTCTTCTCGCTGTCTTTTATCATTTCTTACTTACAACTGTTTATTATTTCTCATCACTAAAACTAACAGTTTAACGGTATTTCCCATAAAAATGAGAATAGTAACACGTCGATTACGTACAAGAAATGAAAACGAAACACCTGTAAATGTATTTAAAATGTAGTCGATGTTATTCTGATACATCATTAGTCTTTATTTGTTGTAAGTGTTGCTATCAGCATCACTTTTATTTAAAATAGTGAGTAGTTAAATTATAAACTATTCCTAGTAGTGTTATATACAGATACCAGACTAATAGTGATAGTAATAATAATAATAATGGTATTTTAAACGTTATTTATATACTTCTTTGTAATAATGAAATTTGTGTCAGTTTATGTCAAAAATTCAGACTTTTATCGAAGGATTATTTATGTAGCTGATTGCGTCAAAACCGTATATATATATATATATATATATATATATATATATATATATATATATATATATATAATATATATATATATATAAACTTGTGCTTGTAGACGTGCACTCTTTCAAGTGTTTTACTCTAAGGTCTATATACGAAAACAAATGCCGACACCTTTATTTACTATACAGTAACATGAAAGACGGACAGACAAGTATATAAAAGTTAGTTAAACACGTTTTTTCCTATTTCGCATGAGGAAATTAAAAAGAAATTTCACATTATGTATAATCTCATTATATATATTTAATATCCTATTACACTATAGGAATATCTAGGAATTATTTTTTTAAAAAGATTAATTTGGGATAAAAAACTGACATGGAGATGTCAGGAATTAAAGTCTGTGAATTGTAAAAAGGAAACGAAAATCATTTTTTTTAAAAACAGTAATATCTTTTGATGTAATAATATATGAGTTTATGTAATGAGAACAAGATAACTAGATATTAATTACTGCTGTTAACAACAACTTTGAACTTAGAAATTATATAATGAACTAATATTGCACATAAAAATATATAACACAGGGGGATTATACTCAAAGTTTAATATGAATAGAACTCATATAATATAGAAATTTTGTATATTTCCATAAGATACTAAACATACACACCTTTTTCTTTGTATAGTTAAGATACATTCTATAAACAGAGTTATATACGCTTTACATGATTCATTCTTACAGAATTTTTAACTGGTTCATTTTATCGAAATATAAAATTTCTTGAGATCTTACTCCCCGGAAGGAATTATTATGCCTATAACAAAGATTCGAATGCCATTAAATCGTATAGACATTCATATGTGCGTATTTAAAAGTTATTTAAAATGTATTCATTTTCCTAGATCTCAGAAGCAGAATATTATGAATGAATGATGAACAGTAGTATAATGTGAAAAGAGATTTGATTTTTCTGAGTAACTCAGTGATAAAGAAGTCATCCATTCTTATTTACAAGGTAAAACTAGTACGTTCGAAAATTTTGTGCTCACATCTGTTTCTGTAACATAGTATTAAAGTAAAGTAAGATGACGATCTCGGAATTCGAAGATAATTGATTTAATCATATTTAACGATAAGGAACTTTTAATGCTTTGCAACAATTCATGTAAGCACGTAAAACTTCCTCGACTGTTAGAAAGCATTTGACAGTGTGGATAGAAGAAACCTTCTATGACACTACAGTGTACCTGAGATCATAAATATCACATGGAATTCATACAATGGACTACACTGCAAAGTGGTGCACGGAGGACAGCTGTAGATGCATTCCAAGTGAGGAATTGAGTCAGACAAGACTGCTTACTCTCCCGCTTTCTCTTTCTTCTTGTGGTCGACTGGATTATGAGAACCTTGACATCGGAGGGGAAGCATGGAATACACTTGATAGGTTTGATATACTAGACGATTTGAACTACTACACCCATCAACAAAAATCTACAAGTATTTATAAACAATTGTCTATGCAAGATACTCAATGTCCGTTGACCAGATACCACCAGCAACAAATTACTGTGGAAGAGAACAAACCAACTTTCACATGAAGAGGAAATTAGGAGACGTCGGAAGTGGATAGAGAATACATTATGGAAATCACCGAACTGCATCTCCAGAAATGCACTAACCTAGAATCTTGAAGGGAAACAGGAGAGGAAGGCCGAAGAACAAATTATATCGGAGGCTCGAAGCAGACATGAAAATGATGAATAACAACTGGAAAGAACTGGGAAGGATAGTCCAGGACAGAGTTGTATGAAGAATGCTGGTGAGCGACCTATGCTCCTTCACGAGGAGCAACAGCCGTAAGTAAGTGAGTTTCGACATGCACTTCGTAGAAGATTGGGAAAGAACGCTGACGTAGAATAGGATAGATTTTACGGGACCCACTAAACTACATCACAAAACAAGCCCTAACTTGGATCCTTCAAAGAAAAGAGAAAGTAGAGACCAAATAAGAAATAGCACTGAGAACTGGAGGCAGTTATCAAAGCATAAAAAATACTTGGCAACAGTTGAAAACAATAGTAGGAGATATAGTCGGTTAAAGATCTTTGTTCGGTAGCCTATGTTCTAAGTGGGGAAATATGGTTGAGTAAGTGCTTATTGACAAATGCAGAAAATAGACAAATTACTTATAAGTGAAGTAATATTCACAACATTGCTGGTAAACTTTGTAAATTATTGATTTCAGCTACGTTTAGTTAGAGCATTAGCTATTTCGTTGACAATAATACATTCACTCTCAGAAAGCTTTTCAAGTCAGTTGTGACTATGAATAAAAATGCGATAATACATGTAATGGCATAATATTTGTTTAGGAATATTATTGTAAGTGTAATATACATTTGATGAGTGAAAACTATGATATTATGAAATTATTGGGATAATGCATATTAATAATTGATTGGAGTAGAAAAGATCAATGCGCTGATGCTAACGAAATTTGTCTTTTGATCTATACGTATGTCAACAGAATTCCTATCAACAAAAATGAAATTCATGAGTTGATCTAACCTAAATCACCACTGAAAATCTGGAAGCAATATATGGCCGTTTCATCTAGTATAGGACTCCTCAGCAGCGCGCATCCACAATCCCGTATGCTGGACATAAACCCATGATTAAAGTTAGACACTAACACCGTCGGATGCCAACTCAGTGGTCTGGACGTTAGGCGTTCGCGCGTGGGCTGAATGTCCCGGGTTAGAGTTCTGAGTGAAGGATCGTGGATGCGCACTGCTGAGATCTCCTATACTATGATGAAACAGCTATCCAGTGCTTCCAGGTATTCAGCGGTAATCTAGCTTAAATCGGCTCATGAATTCAACCGTTAAGATTGCAATAATCTCGACTAATTAATGTTCTGAAAAGTGAAATTTATCTTTTTGTATACATTGTATTTGTTTAGTGTATAGTAATTCCATTCAATTAGATACTTTTAAATAATAATAAAACTATTCATGATACGACATGCGCAAAAATGAAGTAAAAAAAATTGTGTAAATCTTTCATTTTTCAATGAATTGACAAAAGAATAGTAAATTTTATGAGAAAATTATGTGGAATTTTGTGTTTGCATCAAATTAAACGATATTGTCTCTTATATATATGTAACTCAAACAATTCATTCATTAATAACGTCTGGTGCATCATTAAAATACACAATTTAAGCTTTAAAAATAGTCAACATACGATGAATAGATGTATGTATGTATGTAAGTAATTCATATTCATATAGGTATATATGATAATAATTTCTTCTCCATAATGTGTCTGCAGGAGGTTAGAATATCTCATAAATAATGATTGTTTTTTTATTAAATATAATTGTGAATTAACTTATAAACAAGTTTTGTCCGTATGTATATGTTACCTTTTTTTTAATTCAAACTCTCAGCAGTTTTTTTTGTGATTAAATATTAAGTGTAAAAACTACAGTGAATTTTATCACTGATGAAAACTAGAAAAATGACTCATTACTATCTCATGATCTTATTGTAGGGATTTACTAGTTTCCCTTGATATATCATGTTAAAACTAGGATAGAAATACATTCAAACATGTTTTCTACTTATCATTGCATTCGTTATCTATATTTACTTACATATCGATGCTTTTATAGAATCAACAGACTGTAGCTATCAATGGACGAATGTTTCGTCATACTTTGGACTCATTAGCTGGACGCACCAGGATATTGAGATTCGAACTAACAATCTTACGCAGGAGCCTTTGGAGGTTTATCCAGCTAACGAGTATCATATAGGATGAGACGAGCGTCTTGGATAACAATTCTAGTTACATCTCATCTATTTTCTAAAGACTTGTGGTATAATAGCTATATAAATTTAATTCTCACAGGACGTACACACATATCACCTATGATTGATGAAAATTCGGTTAAGATATCGGCAGTAAGATAGTCTGGATCACTACAAACTGAGTTATTCATTTTTTTTTACAAGAAAATATTACATTGAGAAGGCAGAATATGAAAGCAGATGAATGGCGAAATTTGGATTAGATTTCTTAAAATATAAAAATCGTATTTTATAGAATAAAAGTTAATTTTCTGAAAATAAGTACTAGTGTGTCATTTATTCAACCAACGAACTGCAGAAATAATGATCAGTAAGTAGAAGGTTTGATAATATCTAAAGTAATTAAAAATGAAACTTGTTTTATTGTAAGCTAGTTATTGAGTGAAATTCGCTTCCTATTTATCAGCTGATTTAAACTTTAATCATAAAGATTCATATATCACATGAACCTTAGACAACCAGGTTCTTTTTTGTATTTATATACATCCTATTACAACAGTACCTGTTTGAAGCTAATATACTTTCTTCCTTGAATTGTTAGTGAAATACTTTGAGATCACTTTTGAATATATATACTCTTTTTCCAGTTCATTTTTTAACTCATTATCACATTTAATATCCCATGAAAGTACTCCCATACTAAATAATGATTGTAATTTTGATTTGAGAATATAGTTTGTAAGGAATTTTCATTTTTTACAGTATTTAATTGACAGGAAACATTATTAATGTGAATGAATTACCCTTCCATTCAAATGTTAAGTAAATTTTAAAAATCCATTAATTTGATTATGCGTGATATTTAAGGTTGGCTAAAGTTTTATGTACTGAATAATGAGATGTATTAATATAACATTTACCATCTTATATAATGTTATTCAATCGAAGCCTGAAGATATCCAATGGATAAGAACACTGGTTACTGAATTAAGAGTAATCACTGAATACATAATTTAAGTACGTTTAATTGCTCATACAAACCATTGTAATAAATGTGACTAATAAACATAACGAATCTTGGTCGATCTTATATAAACCCAGTTATTTATGCTTGTGTATTTGAGTTTTTTATTCATTTACCTAGAATTCAACCAATCACTAAAAATTTATTTATCATTAGATTGATTCTTAGCGTTACTTTACTTCATTTACTTTGTGTCTTCACGACTGAAGTGCATGAAACCGTTGCCATAGGTTTCATGCAAGCTGACGCTCATTAGCAAAGTAGATTTTTTTCAGTATTCAGAGTGTTGAGATTCTATACGATATTACTTATTTCAGCAGTACCAGATATTCTAACTGAGCTGATGTAGTGAAAAAAGTAAAAACAAGAAGTCAGTAAACTTAATTATTATTACATTTTTTTATAGAAAGCATCTGTATTACACTGTTTTCAATCTATGCTAAATTGTGAACAATAAAGTCGATTGAATACTGCTTTAGATCAGCCAATATTCTATACTGCGAAAGATAAACTAACTTATGAAAGAAACTAAATAATTTCATACATAAAACAATTCATATCAACTGATATATCCATAGTAATAATATTGTGTATTATACTTTCCAGTATCTAGTTAATTCTTTAGGATAATATCATTTACAATGATACATTTGACAACCATGAGATGAACGAAAACACTGGAAAAAATATGTCTCTAGTAGAAAAGAAACATGAGTACAATTAAATCCCAACAAATCAAAAGAAAAAAAGCAACATAGGAAAGTTTTAAATCAGTAAACAAGTAATGTTGTTATTATTATTATTGTTACTATAGAAAGTTGATTTCTTGTTTTAACTTATTTACTGAAAGTTCATCAATCATATAGATTTATTTATTCTGACAAAAAAAAGACAAAATAAATTTCAAACAATCACCATTTCAAGATAACAATGATGACAAGATTGTTATTCAGGTAAAATAATACAAATTATGGGAACTTGGACATTTGTAAATTTTTAACAAAATAAATACTGACAAAATAAGAAGAATGGAAAAATAATGATGGCAAAATGTTATGTGAAGTAATTTATTAATTTAGGGAGTTTGTGGAATTGTATACAGTCATTACAATTACTTAAAGTAAATAAACTGTGATTAACAGTAGGATATAGCATCTTTCTTATTTGAGATTCATTTACAATGAGACTTGAATCTGACACCTTTCTGTGTGGACGTACAACAAGCTTTACACTGAGCAGTTAGCTACAGATAAATACTAACCTGTTCAAACGATGTGATGCTTATATTTCGTACATATAGTTCCTTTTATCATTTTGAAAAGAGCAAGAACAAAGATTCTAGCAGAACATCATGAATTCAATTTACTTTGTTGATTCTTGTCAGCTGTCATATTTAAAATCATAATTACATAATGGGTTTAAATTAACTACATGAAAGAGTTTGATTGGAAGTTATATTGAAGACATATTTGTACAGTATAGCAAGGGTGTAAATAAATTTAATAGACTGAATATTGTGGTGAAATGTGATGAATATGTGATGAAAGAACATTGTGACAACAGTTCAAACGGCTAGAAACAAGTAAACATTGATAGGAATAAAATGAGTAGAGTTCAGTTGATAAAATAAGATAGTCGGAATAAAACTCAATGGTGTGATAAATACAAGAAAGAGTTTAAAGAAGAGAAAAAATATTAAGATATAACGAAGGAATATTAATCACCAAGGCAAGGAAAGATTAATAACCATCTCCTTTTGAACACATAAATCAGGCTTTTGTCGCCTGATAGCAACTGCTTCAGCAAACTTCAGAAGACTGGAGTTTGGCTGCTTACTAATCACCTTGAAAGATTGCAAAGTATCGACCTGATGTCCTGTATCAAGGAGATGTTTGCTAATTGCACTGTTTAGAGTCTTTCCCTTGTCCTGAGGCTTTTTGGAACATGTTCAGAAAATCTAAGATATTCCCTCTTTTCTGTTCGGCTAATGTAGCTGCTTTGATAGGTACACGTAAACTTATAAATACAGCTGGTGGTAACATTAAAAGGGTTCCTGTCAACCTTTGATTGATTTATTGAACATGTTGTTTTATAAAGAGTTATTAATTTGGCTGCCGGATAATTTCTGGCTATTGCAGTGTTCGGTCTCCTGCTGATTATGCTTGCGACATCATCACCTTTGAAGTTGAGATTTTATAGATACTGGTTTTCATTGGCCGTAATGACTTCAGTCTTGTTTTCTTTAGGCTTTTCATATTTGTCAATAAATTTCTGTGAGTAACAATTGTCTCTTGGGCATTTTTCCCTGTTCATCCATTCTTCTTCCAGTTTGTCGGTGGTACATATCCTTTATACCCTATAGTGTTTTACCCATTGCCTTCTTGTAACTGATTAGACAAAACCTATCAAAATTCAGGTAAAGGCCATTCCAAGCACTTTTCGATAAACCTAACGTTGAACTGTCACGTCTCCCCTACATTTTATGGCAACATCAAGAAAGTTGAACATGTCATTCTGTTCACGTTCCATAGTAAATTGTATGTTAGGATGAGCATTATTGAAGAGTTTTAGCAGGCGGATTGCATGTTGTTTATTGTGACAGACAATAAACGTATCGTCAATATGTCTGGAGCATTCCTTGGTTTTGCTAGTCGCTTTCAAGATACCCTATAAAAATATCTGCCATAGTTGGACCCAGTGGACTTCCCATTGCTAAACCATCAATTTGACGATATATGGTGTTATTAAACTGGAATTGGACATCTGTTGTGCACATTAGTATCAGTTTTTTGAATTCTGGGGCTGATAAAGGTGGGAGATCATAATTCTGACAAATTATATCAATAGTTTCGAAAAGTGGTGTCCTGGTGAAAAATGATGTTACATCAAAAGAAACCGTAAACTTATCGGCAACATTCACACGATGTTGTCTATCAGCTGGAATGAATCTCTTAACGTATATGTTGCTAATCTCCAACGGATTGGCTCTAGGTTTTCTGCTATCCAGCATACAACTTAGTGATACTGTGATTTGATCATTGCTAGGATAGGTCTAAGAGGAACGTTTGTGAATTTTTGGTAAACCATACATATGAGGTAGATGTGAACCTTTTTAGAGGTTCTCTAAGCATGCCTGTGATTCATTCTTTTGTAGAATCAGTTATATCCTTTTTGGATTTATCTATCTTGAATCTCAGTTGATCATCTAGGACTGACTTCATCATACTGATATAATCAGCTATATTCATTAAGACGACACCTAAACCTTTATTCGGTCGTAAAATCATCACCTCACTATTTTGTTTGATGATTCTTATAGCTGTCAGATGTTTTTTTGGATAGAATATTCATGTTTTCTTTTTTCCACAATTGTAATTCAGTCATTAAATAATTTTCACAGATTGAAATCATGAGTCAGTTGAAGCTAGACCACCATGGAAAACCTGGAAGCACTGAACGGCCGTTTCGTCCTAGTATGGGACTCCAAAATGTTAAATAATGTATCAAGCAAATAAGAGAAAACTATCGACTTGTAAGCTGTTTATATGTTCAAATTATTTGATGGAATGATTTGCTTTTAATGAATTTTTCAAATTGATTGAGGTTAAAAAAGGAACTGAAACATACTTTTTCTGAGTCCATCTAATTTCTAGAATGCTTAAGCATTGCGATTGATCAATTATATTCTTAAAGTAAAAAAGAAATGTAAAACATTTTTTGATAGTTTATTCTATTCAATATTATGTACGTTTATATTTATTATTTTGTTTGTTATTGCTATGATACAAAGAAAAGTCAAAATTCGTTTGACTTACTCATTATGACTTTTGTTCAACATTACTTCCGTCCTGATTCAATGTAATGATTATTCAGTGTAGTATTCGGCTTTGTTTCCTCGTATGATATTTTACTCTATAATATACGATATTCTTGTATTCAAGTAACATGAACTATACTCAGTATGTGATTTGTTACGACTATTTTTTTATATATATGATTTCATCTTAATTCTTAATCAAATTATGTGTACAATCAATATATAAATCAACGTATTTTCGACTAGGGTCGTCGTGATTTGGGGGTTAATAAATCTTCACTTATATTAGTCTTTGTGTTCTTACTTTCGCATCGTGGGAATTGCAGAGGCCCCTCGTTTCGAGTATATGT